TCATCAGACGGGACGTCATCGAAAGAGGCGACGTCATCAGACGGGACGTCATCGGAAGAGGCGACGTCATCAGAGGAGGAGGCAACGTCATCAGACGGGACGTCATCAGAGGAGGAGGCGACGTCATCAGAGGAGGAGGCGACGACTTCGGACACGTCGTCATCAGAGGAGGAGGCGACGACTTCGGACACGTCGTCATCAGAGGAGGAGGCGACGACTTCGGACACGTCGTCATCAGAGGAGGAGGCGACGACTTCGGACACGTCGTCATCAGAGGAGGAGGCGACGACTTCGGACACGTCGTCATCAGAGGAGGAGGCGACGACTTCGGACACGTCGTCATCAGAGGAGGAGGCGACGACTTCGGACACGTCGTCATCAGGGGCGACGACTTCTGGACAGGCGACGTCATCAGGGGCGTCGACTTCAGAACACGAGGAAGAGGCGTCAGCCACAGGACTGGCAGGGGCGTCGGCCACAGGACTGGCAGGGGCGTCGGCCACAGGACTGGCAGGGGCGTCGGCCACAGAGCCCTGGACCGTCGACTTCTGGACCGTCGACTTCTGGACCGTCGACTTCTGGACCGTTGACTTCTGGTCCGGGGGCGTCGACTTCTGGTCCGCGGGCGTCGACTTCTGGTCCGGGTGGGTCGACTTCTGGTCCAGGGGCGTCGACTGCTGGACCGCCGACTGCTGGACCGCCGACTGCTGGACCGCCGACTGCTGGGGCCGACCCGTCCGCTTCGGGGCCAGAACCGGAACCGTCTGCTTCTGGGCCCATCCCTTCTGCTTCTGAGCCCGTCCCTTCTGCTTCTGGGCCCTCTGGAGTGGAGGCGAGGCAGCTGCAGGAGGGGCTGCCTGGACAGGCTGGACTGGAAGTGGTGGAACTGGTAGGGCTGGAAGCCGTGAGAGCAGGGGGGACAGCCCGTCCAGCTGAAGCTCCTGGAGGTTGAGGGTTCGATGGAGCTGGGCCAGTTCAGCCCGGAGACCAGCGAGCTCCGCTGGGTGGACGGGCTCGCTCCTCTCCTGGCGGTTCGGGGAGGATAGAGTGTCCAGGTGACTCTCCTGGAGGCTGACGAGCTGGCGGATCCGGTCGAGCTCCGCCTGGAGCTCCATCAGCTGGGCTGTGGGCGTGGTTCCTCCGCCTGCAGATGACGAAGGCGCTGGTTGGACCGGAGACGGGACTGCTGGTCTGACTGGGGGCGTGTCCAAGTTGGCGCACTGAGCCAGAACTGCAGCGAGCTCGCGGCTCCGTCCTTGGACCAGCCGCTGCGGTGGAGCCCGGCATGCCTCCCCACGCCGTGGGCCAACTCCCGGGGAGCACACAGCCAGGCGGGTGCCCACGAAGCTGGAGCGATCCGGAAGCGGCTCCCGGTCCGACCCCTCGTCCGGTTCCGGGAGAGCAGCGAGGATTGCTGCGGCTGATGGCCGAGGACGGCGTTTTCGGCGAGGCAGAACTGAAGCAGGGGAAGGCGATGGAGAAGCTGGGTGGTGGCTCGGAGTGAGCCACTGAAGCAGGTGCTCCCACGGGAGAATCTCCTCGCTGGATCTCACAACGGGTTTGGGTCGGATCATTCTGTCAGCTCGCTGCGGAGTGGAGCGGAGGAAAGGCGTGGATCCAGACCGGGGAGTAAACAGGCAGCAGGTAGGAACGGTCAACCAGGATTTATTAAGCACGCTGGACAATGAAACAATGATCCGACCCAGTACAAAGAACAGACAGGGTTTAAATACAGGAGGGTTGGGAGCTAAGGTGATTGAGAAACGAGAGGCAGGTGGGAGTAATCAACGAGACACAAGGCTGAACTAAACGGGGAGACATGACCGGGTGTGACAGTTAGATAGATAGATAGATAGATAGATAGATAGATAGATAGATAGATAGATAGATAGATAGATAGATAGATAGATAGATAGATAGATAGATAGATAGATAGATAGATAGATAGATAGATAGATAGATAGATAGATAGATAGATAGATAGATAGATAGATAGATAGATAGATAGATGATAGATAGATAGATAGATAGATAGATAGATAGATAGATAGATAGATAGATAGATAGATAGATAGATAGATAGATAGATAGATAGATAGATAGATAGATAGATAGATAGATAGATAGATAGATAGATAGATAGATGGATGGATGGATGGATGGATGGATGGATGGATGGATGGATGGATGGATGGATGGATGGATGGATGGATGGATGGATGGATGGATGGATGGATGGATGGATAGATAGATAGATAGATAGATAGATAGATAGATAGATAGATAGATAGATAGATAGATAGATAGATAGATGGATAGATAGATGATAGATGGATAGATAGATGATAGATAGATAGATAGATAGATAGATAGATAGATAGATAGATAGATAGATAGATAGATAGATAGATAGATAGATAGATAGATAGATAGATAGATAGATAGATAGATAGATAGATAGATAGATAGATGATAGATAGATAGATAGATAGATAGATAGATAGATAGATAGATAGATAGATAGATAGATAGATAGATAGATAGATAGATAGATAGATAGATAGATAGATAGATAGATAGATAGATAGATAGATAGATAGATGATAGATAGATAGATAGATAGATAGATAGATAGATGATAGATAGATAGATAGATAGATAGATAGATAGATAGATAGATAGATAGATAGATAGATAGATAGATAGATAGATAGATAGATAGATAGATAGATAGATAGATAGATAGATGATAGATGGATAGATAGATAGATAGATAGATAGATAGATAGATAGATAGATAGATAGATAGATAGATAGATAGATAGATAGATAGATAGATAGATAGATAGATAGATAGATAGATAGATGATAGATAGATAGATAGATAGATAGATAGATGATAGATAGATGGATAGATGATAGATAGATGATAGATAGATATAGACGTTCTGAACTTTTAGAACAGCAATGAGTTGCCTATAAATGTGCAAAAAAAAGTTGGTCTTGACCTTGATCAAATCAATAAAAGCGGTCAGTAAAATGTTAATCACAGCTGTAGGGATATCATAGAACAGAATGTTTTCATTGAAATAAAGGTTGTGGAAATGCTAAATTTCTGTGGCGTTGTTTGTTTAAAAGCAGCTGTGCTGCAGTGAAGCGTGCATGGATAAGGATTAGTGTTGTGTGCATTTATGTCAATAAGCATGTGCAAGAGCAAAGCTTGTTCACTGGATTCTCTCTGTGGTGTTCTCTGTGGCACAAATAAGTGTTAGAGCTCAGTGAGTCTGCTGCTACATCTAACCTTCACACCTCTGGTACTTCCTCTTCCTCCACATTAAATCAGTAGTATGGAGTGTGAACGAATGGAGATTTACACTCAGGGCTAATGAGCAGAAGAAATCCTGACTCATTTTGAGCAGTTGTTCTTGTCTAAGGTCGTCTGAGGTGGCTGTCCCAGACTGATGCTACATAAGACATCCCCACAGAACCTTTAGTTACAGGTATCTGCTGAATTCAACACCTGAATGTGCTCAAATGTTCAGTTAACACATATCTGACACCCTGATATTGCAACTAAAGCCTTCTAAATATGGTTTCTGATTCAGCATGAAGATGTTGTCTCTTGGGTAAAAACTGGGATGTGAGGAAGACTCCAGGTGTTAGCAGATGTGATTCTGTCTATCTCTGTTTCTATGCAAACCCTCAGGGGTTGCACAGTTTTCAGCTGAATTTTCAGACCATGTTTGAGGAAATTTGTATAGCTGGTAAACAAAAGAGTCAGTGATCTCATTAGCAATAACTGCTGCTGGATTGTAGGAGTATAACAAATACTTTGTGAATGCAGATATAGTGAAGTTGCCATTGACATGCTTTATTTGTCTATCCATTAGTCGGTCCTGCATATATTGTTTAGCTTTCTGCTGCCTGACATTACATCATAACACATATCTATTATACAAGCACAGATCATCCCTTCCTCCATTTTCGGCCGCTTATCCAGGGTCGGGTCGGGACAGACATAGTCCTCCAGCGTGTCCTGGGTCTTCCTTTGGGTCTCCTCTCGATTGGACGTGCCCAGAAAACCTCACCATGGAGGCGTCCAGATGCCCGAGCCACCTCAACTTGCTCATCTCGATGTGAAAGAGCAGCGGGTCTACTCCGAGCCCCTCACAGATGACCAAGCTTTTCACCCTATATCTAAGGGTGAGCCACTCTGCGGAGAAAACTCATTTCAGCTGCTTGTATCCGCAATCTCATTCTTTTGGTCACCATCCAAAGCTCGTGACCATAGGTGAGGGTAAGAACGTAAATCGACTGGTAAATCAAGAGCTTTGCCTTCCAGCTCAGCTCTCTCTTCACCATGACAGGCCAGTACAATGCCCACATCACTGCAGAAGCAACACCAATCTTGATATCGCCCTCCATCTTTCTCTCACTCATTCCCAAGACTTCGAGACACTTAAACTCCTCAACCTGTGGCAGGACCTCGTCCCTGACTCGTAGAAGGTATTCCACCCTTTTCCAACTCAGTGGGTTTTAAACTCATCCTTAAAATTACTCATCAGAACAAAGATGTAGCATTTAGCTCTCTCTGATTTAAAAATACCACCAAACTTCAATCAACGCTCTCATCACTCACAAAAAAAAAAACGAAACAGAATCAATATTCCACATCCAGATTTTTGTTCCTTTATCCAGCGTTAGATGCTGCAGTGTAATTAAAATGTATTTGGTAATTTTCCTGGTAACTGATGAGTTATAGATACACAATAATAATATCAGCTGATTTCACTGCAGAGAGTTTTGACATTTGGTTCATTTATTTTTATACAATTTTGAACATCTCAGCAATTTCTTTTACATTGTGGAGCTGCTGCAATACTCAATTTGTAGTTTTCATTGTTGAGTGCATTCAGAACCAGCTGTGTGTTATACTGAACCTTGTCATGATACATTTTTCTCATGTACACAGATGAGCCATGAGCATGACGGGAACTCACCTTCGCATTCCTTGCCATCTCCTTTATAACCTGGCTTGCAGATGCAGTTGTAAGACTTGGGTGTGTTCTGGCAGAGAGCATCAATATGGCAGTCATCTGAACCTTCTGCACACTCATCTACATCTGCATAAACATAAAACATCAATACGTAATTACATTTGGGTCCCCAAGGATTCAGTAAGCTCACAGTGTTGGATGTGACTAATGGTGGTGTAAACGGGCCGGATCAGAGCGTGCATCTCGGGTCACCTCACATAAAGAGGATTAACATGGAATTGTAAAGTGTTTGATTAATATTTCTAAATAATAATTATATATATATATATATATATATATATATATATATATATATATATATATACATATATATATATATATATTAAGTTAAAAGAAAAACCTTGACTTTACAACTCAGCACAACCTCACTATTATGTGGTTGGGAGTTTACATATACTGGCATGAATTTCTGACCAACGTGAGGTATTTAATCAGTGGTGTGGACTGTTCTTTTTCCAGGGATAAATATTTAGAATAGAATAGAATAGAATAGAATAGAATAGACTTTAATAATCCCACAATGGCGAAATTCACATATACTTAAGAGAAAAGGAAGAAGAAAAATAATAAGATTATAGGTAAACACTCATAGACAATAAGTTATTATTGTAACTTTCAACCATAAAAAAAAGGAAACTTGGGTTTCCAGAACTATGCTGCATAAGGGACAGGGAGTATTGAACACATACTGAGTATTGCATTGATGTTATTGTGTACTGGGATAATGCCAGTACCAGTTAAACTGAGGAGTTATACACTCTTACTGCAGAGGGGATGAATGACCTACGGTAGTGTTCTGTTTTACATCTGGGGTGTCTCAGTCTTCCATTGAAGGATCTGTCCACACAACATACAACTTTCATAACTTGAAAAACAATATTGTGGTGAAAAGTCTGAACTTATTGTAGATTTTTCTACTTCCACAGGAAATACTGAAAATAACTGAAATATTTGCATATGTTTACCTAAGCTATTAATACATTAGGCAAACAGTTATTGAATGTATTTTAACCCAATACCAAGGATGTTTAACTTCTCGTAATCATGACTGACTACAGCTTGTTGGCTCTCTTTGCAGAATAAAAACTTTTTAATGGGACTCATTGAATTGACCAACTCTGGAAATGTAATTGTCAGCAAAGAGAAATTGTGGATTTATATAAGTTGATATTGTCTGTTGGAATCATTTAAAATTTTTGATTCTAAAATCTTCATTTTAAACAAAAATAACTTTATTCAGATGTGTCAACACTTTCCCAATGTTAAAATGTTCTGGACCAACCCAGAAACAGCCAAAGCTCAAGCCTATCATGAAGTGGAATCTACTGGAACACCAGTCTCAGTCCACAGTGAAACCAGCTTCCACTGGGTGGAAAGACCATGGAAATAGCAACTGGTCCAAAGCGGACACTTTTCAATCTGGACTGGAACCTGCAGCAGTTCACAAGGACAAGGAAATTGTCTTCTGGAGAAAGTTGTCTTCTGGAGAAAGTTTTAACAGTCAAATGAGACACCTTGCACACTCATGAAATGAAATGTTAACTTTACCTAACCAGGTTATGTCAACTGGTTCCACTAAACCTAGTAGCTTAAGAGCAAAATGTAAGAATTCTACAGTGAAACAATCACAAAACAGTCTAATGTCTCAATCATGTTGGAAGGAAGGTGAAACTGAAACAGATTTCACTCTCAGACGGCTGAGGTGTTGTCAGTTTTTCTCCTTTAAATAAAACTAAAGAGGGACGTAGTCACTGTTTACAGTCTGAGTTTGTGAGGTTGTCGAGTCTGTGCCGAGCTAACGCTGCAGCGGCAACATTTATGATTCAGCAGGCAAAAAGTTACAGAGGTGTTAAAAAGAACCAAAGCCAGTAAACAGGAGCAACCTAGAAGTTATTTCTTGTACCCTCAAGAAGCCATCTTTTTGTTTGACTCTAATATCAAGTGAAGCATGCTACAGGCTAAAGTTGAGCTAACAACAGTAAATTAGAAGTAAATCATCTCTAAAAGTAACTCAAGCTACTAAATTCAATTACCAACTACTTGATATTACAGTGGAATGCATGTGAGAAGGGAATGGTAAATTGTCTGTATTTGATATAGCCCCTTCTAGAATCCCAGAATCCCCCAAGGCACTTCACAACACAATAAGTCATTCGCCCATGCACACACACATTCACACAGTGGTGGTGATGAGCTACAATGTATCCACAATTGCCCTGAGGCCCACTGACAGAGGAGAGGTTATTGATCACAGGCACCGCCAGTCCCTCCAACCACCACCAACAGATAATGTTGGTAAAGTGTCTTGCTCAAGGATACAACAGCAGCATTCTCTGCTAGGAGCCGTGATCAATCCTACAATGCTCCAATTACTGTACAATCTCTTTCTTCTTCTTCTTCCGTGTCCTGCCTGGCTGGGAAGCTAACATAATTGATGTCTGAATGCTGGTGACAAGCCTTACAGAGCACAGGAACACCAGGGAGACTGCAACCAGAAAAGCCTCCGCACCCCCCTCGAGAGGCGCAAAGGATCGCCCCAGGGGGCCACAACCAGCAGCCGGCAAACCTACGGGCCCACCCACAGCCTCCCACAACCTAGCTGGCCGAGCCCAGGACCCAGTGGCCCGGGACCCAGGGGCGACCTCCCCCGCCAGGGACCCAGCAGAGCCCAGGGACCTAGACCCCACCAGGCAGCCACCGGGATTGGTCAGGCAGATGCCAAAAATCTTAAACTCCCTGACCCACGAGCCACGACCCAGGCAGACCAAGGCACCGCACTCTACACCAGGTGTGGCAGGGAGAGGGGAGACGAAGATCTATATCATCAAAAGAAGTCCCAGGAGAAAGGAGGAGTCAAAGGCCCACCTGACATATACAGTCATACACAAACACAGTCACACACTCCTTCCCTCATGCTCACACATACACATACAACCAAAGACTTACAAAAATGCACGCCGGACACCCACTCATGCTCCCCATACACACACCCTATTCACTCTGGTCCCGGTACTGCTGCACATGGGGTACAACCATTACCGGTTCCCAGAGTGCGGCCCTTTCTGCTGGGGTGCTGATGAGCAGGCCCCCCACCCCCACCCCCCACCCCCACCCCCACCCCATCCCTCCCCCCCGCCCAATGCTGAGCCCAGCAACCCACCGCCCCAGACCCCAACCGGACGGCCGGATCTCCCTCCTGGCCTCCAGCCCCAGGAAGCCAAGTGACGACAGAGGTGTGCTAAGACCCCTAGTCTCCCTCCGCCTGCTCCAATATGGTGTTCGTGAGTGTTGATGAAGTGTATTCCATGGCTGTGGTGAGCGGGCAGTGCGGGCATCATCTGGCCTATGTCACCCGATGCCACCACACCACCCCACTTGCACCCACAGCCCTCAGTGTCTAAGTGCAGTTTAAAATTGGAAGTGGGCACCAGCACTTGGGATGAGGCTGAGAAATCCCCCTGCCAAATGCCGCTGAATGTGCTCACTCCCAAGGCCCTAAGTGTGTGTTTGCGTGGAATGTCGTTGGTGGAAGTGTTTAAGGTGCATATAAAATTGGGGGGCAGGTTGCCACAGGAATGCAGAAATGGGGTCCATACCCGCACTCCCTGACTTGTCCACCCCCCAAGGTCCTATGTGCATGTTTGTGTGATGATGTGAGGGAGCAGGAGGAGAGAAATATGCGGGGATGGGGAGGAATGGCTGGTTAGGCTTAGCCCTCCAGGGAGCCAGCTCCCCTACTGGCACCAATAGGCACCTCTGTTGTCAAACCGCCACCCAGAGCATGGAGACCCCAGCCCATCCTGCCAGGGCCCAAAGCAGCAGCATCACAGGGTCCGAGGGCACCAACCCAGCCCCACCCCAGCAGAATATCTATGCCCATCCCTGCTTTTGCACAACTTCTGGATTATTAAAGACATAGGACATCCAGGTAAGGTTGGGTCCTCCCCCTCCTGGACTTCCCCCTCCCCTGTGATGGGACAGCAGAGGAGCCAAGGTCTGCCTGAGGTCCCTGAACCCGAGTCAGGCACTGCTGCATGTTCATGCCTTCTCCCCGGCAGCATACATGTCAGGACCCGACCCCCAAGGCCCCGCCAAGATTCCCCCACGGGGCTGGCCACCCTCACACCCCAAGCCCCCAGGCCCCCACCCGGACCCGCCCAGGGGCAATGCAGCTGCCGGGCAGTGACCCATGGCCCCCGCCAAGACCTCCAAGGGGCCCCACTCTCAACCACCAGTAGTCCACCCCCCCGAGGCAACCCAAGCACCTCCAGAGGGGGGCAACGGCCCCCCAGTCCCAGACACTCCCAGTGAACCCACCTCCAGGGAACGTCCAGATACTTCAAACTCAGACCCTCCACCCCCTCACCCACATCATCCCGCAGGACAATATCAATGGTCCCCCGTCATCGCTATGTGATGGAACCGATCAAAGGAGCCCAGAGAGATTGATTTGAAATGGAAGCAGAGGCTATATCAAGTGTAATATGATCTAACAAAAGATTTCTATACTGGTTGGTGCAAAGAGTATCTCTTTTTTTCCAATTCAAGAGGATAGTTTTCTTAGCGATGCATATGGCAGTCAGAACCACGTGAGCCAAAGATGTTTCAATCGGGACATCGTCCAGGTTTCCCAGTAAACAAAGAGAGGGGACAGTTGGGATATGACATTTCAGACACTTTGACAGGTCTTCACACACTCTACCCCAAAATTCCTGGACAGGTGGACAGGACCACAGTGTGTGAATGTAATTGTCAGAAATGTTGTTTGTGCCGTGTGTACAGGTGTCAGACAACACAAACCCCATCTTGAACATCTGATGACCTGTATAGTGTACTCTGTGTAGAATTTTGTACTGAAATAATTGTAAATTGGAGTGTCTGATCATTTTAAAAGTTTTTAAACAAGTTTGGGACCAGAAGTCCTGGTCAAAGCTGACTGATAGATTCACCTCCCGTGTTTCAATAGGGATTGCTATATTATTGTCTATTTTGGACAGTGTATTATATACTTTAGACAGTAGTTTGGGGGGTTACAGATTATATAAGTCTAATACCAATGGTGGTGT